CCCAGGACCACTAATCCCACCGCTATTTGTCCTTTTTGCTAATCCCTCACCCCACAGCCTGGCACAGCGGGACGGGGCGTGTGACTGACCCTGGCTGGGATCAAAGCCAGAGGGGGTGCAGGTGGTGCCATCGTGCCCCAATGTCCCCATCCCTCCCGAACACCCCGGGCTGAGCACCCCTGAGGCAAAGCCCCGTCTCCCAGCCCGGCTGCGGGTGCAACTCACGGGTTTTCCCTGCTCGCCAGGAGGACCCACGAGGCCACGCTCACCCCGGTCACCCTGCAGAGATCCGAGAAGAGCAGAGTCAGGGGCAGCTCCTGGCGCTGCCACAAACCCCAAAGTGCCCCAGACTCACCTTCAAGCCCTGGACACCCTGTGGTCCCTGCTCACCCCGAGGTCCAGGTTCACCCTAAGAGGGGAAAAGATAAACCAGACCAGCTGCCTCTGTGATGTTCACTTGCCATCATCCACCCTTCATCCCTCCCCAAGGGATGTGCTGCCCTGTCCTTGTCCCCTGCAGCTACACAAAGGGCTGCCACCACCCCAGGTGGCCGAGGAGGTCCTGGAGAAGTGGCTCCATGGCTTCCCCATGAGGAAACTGCTGCTGAAGAGGAGGGTTGGAGGGGATGAAGTGCCCAACTCTGCTTTCTTTTTGACAGCAAATGGGTAAAAAAAGAGCAAGAGAGAGAGAAAGAACAACCCCAGGCTGTGCCCAGGAGGAACGTGGTGATGTCTCCATACTTACAATCTGCCCCGGGGCACCGGTGACACCGGGCTGTCCCCGAGCACCCACTTCACCCTGCAAACAGGAGACAGAGATGGTTCAGGGACAGTGAGGACAGGGGAGGGGACAGGATGGGGTGCTCAGAGGGGGTGACCCTAGCCTTGGTTGCCCCAGACCCACCTTATCTCCTGGGCCACCTTTGCTTCCTGGCTGGCCTGGCAAGCCCTGTAGAAAGCAAGTCAGGATCAAACCCTGTGCCCAGCACTGCAGGCGGTGACCCTGTCCAGTGTCCCTGTCCGGAGGCAGCGTCCCCACTGGGTGCTGGCCCTGCCCCCTGGCACGACCTGGGGATGGGGGGTGCCACCCCACAGGTAACAGGGTACCCATCTGGGTGGGGGGCTCCTGTACTCACAGCTTGTCCCCGGTGTCCTGGTTGCCCTGGGTGGCCAGCCTGTCCCACGCTGCCCTGTGAGGGACAGAGGGACTGTTACCATGTGGTGGAGAAAGACATGGAAATGGGGTGTTCAGGGGTGGGACAAGGTAGTCCTGGCCAAAGGAGGGGGGACACCACACTGCATCACTCAGGAGATGCCACATCAAGGGCTGGGACCTTATGTCACTCGCCATCCTCGTTATTTCCAGCAAGCACTGGTATGGGGGACAGTGTGTGCCCATTCCCCTGCACCCCACAGCCCCTGCCTGCAGCCGCTCACCTTCACACCTGGGATTCCTGGGGTCCCATCTTTGCCATCAATGCCTGGGAGACCCTGTGAAAGGGGGAAGAGTGACTCAGTTTGACACCTCTGAGAGGGACTGAAAGGCTCACGGTGGGGGTAAAAAAAGGCTGGGAAGGGCAAGGGAAGCTCCAGTCCTCCCAAAGCAGCCAGGCTGGCAGTGCCAGGCAGCTGCTCCTGCTCCCCCAGCCCTGCGCTGAGCCAGGGTGTAAGGGCACAGGATGGCCCTGAACAGGACAGAGAGGTCTTCTCCTTGCAAGAGGCTCAGCTCTAGATGTGGGTGGGGGTGGCTCTACTTACATTCTCCCCCTTGGGGCCGATGTCTCCTTGGGGTCCCCTGATGCCACGGCCACCCTAGAGCAGGAGAGAGCAGGAGTTCTTTCAGGAGCTGGGAGAAGGAGGAGATGCCCATCAAGGGCACCCTGGGCAAAGCCCCTCTCTGTGCCGAGGAGCAGGGCTGAGCTGGGGAAAAGGGGACATTGGCATCACACGGGGCATGGCACTGCC